CTTCATTGTGATTTTTGTCTTCATTTTATCTTCCTTTGGGTCATGGTGTTTTCTGTCAATATGTCTTCGCGAAAAAAACATGATGAAAAAATGAAGAATCCTCGAGGAATCATCATTTTTCTTCGTGGATAAAGAAATTCACGAAAAAAGGTGGAAGAAACCAGGAAATGAAAAAATGATGAAAAATGAAGAATCCTCGAGGAATCATCATGTTTTCTTCGTGGATAAATAAATTCACGAAAAGGTGGAAGAAACCAGGAAATGAAAAAAAATGATGAAAAAATGAAGAATCCTCGAGAAATCATCATGTTTCTTCGTTTTTGATATTAATGTTGTCCTTCATTTGGGTCTTCATTTGTTTCTTCATTTTCTTACCATTTGCCTTAGTCTGCATCGTTTATGTATTCATTTATTTTTGGTTGCCATTTGCTAGAACCATGCCTGAAATGAAAAAATAGAAGGCCTGAAAACCAAATGATAAAAACATGCTAGCAACAACCATATCAATAACCATACCCAAATGAAAGGAAAATGAAAACAAAACTAAATCGCTCATTTCCAATGTGTGGCTGGCTGGGGATTCCTTAAGCGTGGCCTTGCTGGAAAGTGCGTTTAGGTGAGTCCGTGCTTTCGGTTAAGGAAGACATGTGCCGCTGGCATTGAATGCGGCGTGTCACCGGGGGATCAGGGGGCGGAATGAGTGGCGGCGTGCGCGAAGCTTGGCGTTGCATTGTTTCAGGCGAAATGACGTCGGTGACGTCGCTGTGCTGCGGTTTTGCGCGGCCTCGCTGGAAAGTGCGGCTTGCGTGGGTCACCGTGAGTCCATAGCATTGGGGGATCGAATGCGTTTGCGGGAGTCCGCCATGGGGGAGGCAAAACAGTGCAAACGCGGTGTGTCGCTGGGGAGGGGGATGATTGGCGGTGCCCACGACAAAACTTTGTGTTGCGTTGTGGTATAGTAATAGTTTGTCGTCTTTGGCGCACCGTGTGGCGAAAATACGTCTGTGATGTCGTGGTGTGTGGTTTTGCAAGTCTTGCACGCCCTCGGTGGAAAGCGCGATTGCGTGACATGCCATTGGAGCACGGTGTTTGGCGGTGCCCACGAGGCTTGGTGGCGTACCGTGCAGCGAAAATATCGCGCCTCCCCTCAAACAAAGGAGACTCTTAATTAATAATTGATAGTGAAAAATCAATACGGATTAAAAGGAAATCAATAATTACTCAAAAGGAAATCAATATTATAGTTAAAAGAAAATCAATATTAGTTGAAAGGAAAACAAAGGAAATCAGTTTTAGTTAAGAGGGATTCAATACTAGTTAGCAGGAAATCAAAATTAGTTAAAAGGAGATGAGATCAATATTAGCCAAAAGGAAACCAACATAAGTTAAATGGAAATCAATTTTAGTCAAAAGGAAATCAAACTAGACGACAGGGTGGCCGAAAGAAAGCATAGTAGGAGTAAGCATTTTAGCGAAAGGGTTCCAAACGAAAACAAAACTGAGGGATGAACCGTTTGTCGGTAACATGTATAGTAACATGTTTTTGGGGTAGCAATGTATCGCAATGTGCCAACTGCAACGCGACTATTCTTGTCATTGAGGCCCAAATCATTTCATCACTGAGTTAGTTGATGTCTTTCTGCTGGGTCCGTTTCACTACATCTAATGATCACAGGTGCATGATGTTGTATAATGTCTGCGTATGTATGACGATGATGATGATGATGACTATGATGTATGATAATTATAATGTATTATGGTGATGATGATGATGTTGTATGTGTGATGATGATCACGATGATGTGCAATGTATTAGTATGTATAATGGTGATGGTGATGACAAAAACACTGCGCCTGCCACGAAAAGCTCTTTCCCGTACTGCAGTTGTACTACAAACTGGCCACTTCTGAGTCCAGCCCCGAAAAGTTCTTTCCCGTACTACATTTGCACTACAAACTGGCCACGTCTGAGTCCAGCTCCGAAAAGCTCTTTCCCGCACTACATTTGTACTACAAACTGGCCACTTCTGACTCCAGCTCCAAAAGTGAAGCGCCAAGTCTCCAAAACGAGCGTTTCGTACGAGATTTCCTCCAAAAGTTACGCGTCAAAGTCTCCAAAGCGAGCGTTTTGTACGAGACTTCCTCCAAAGTGAAGCGCCAAGTCTCCAAAACGAGCGTTTCGTACGAGACTTCCTCCAATAGTGAAGCAACTGGGTCAACTGAGCTCAACTGGGGTCAACTGGGTCCGGAGATATAGCGCGGCCCGCGTCTTCAACTGGCTCAACTGGGTCCACCACCACTACTATCACCGCTACCACTACTGCTTATGGGCCAACTTGGGTCCGCTGGGTTCAAGGTCTGGCAACGACTACTACTGAGCATGCTTGATCAAAGACGAATCCCTACTAGTGCTAGATGAAAAATAAGGCAGTCTGAACAGTAAAAATTAAGCTCAACACCAGGGTTCCTGTGTTGAGCTTGGACAAACCCTTTTTTATCAAGTTCATCGGTGGAGCCAACGAATGGCCAACGAATGGCATGCGTGAAACTAGATTTCGAGTTGTAACGATGATCTGGACCTGTCAGACAGGGGAAGGTTCAATCGCCAAATATCCTGTTGGAGAGCTTTTGGAAGAGAATCACTCACTGCCTTGCAGCCCAGACAGCGAGACGGCTTCTGTGGGGATCCCGTGGTCGACTTGTGGATGTTTGCCACGTCCAAACAAGGGATCAGGCGCTGCGTTTTCGATCATCAAAGACTATCTACTAAACCACAGACAACTAAGTCAACTCATCCATAGAATTCTGGAACCTGAGTAAGTGACCCGTTTGTTAGATCAACGCCACCCATCCTCATCTGGGCGACAAATCTACCTTTTGCTACAAAAAGGTCTGCTCAACTGGTCCAAGAACGGTTCCCAACCAACCTCAACGC